TGACCTCTAAAAGGTGGAGGTCAAATAAGAGGAGGCACATTGCTAAGCTTGCAATGCATCTGCTTTTTCACTGATATAAAAAAAGCATTTGACCTTAATCCAGCACACTTAAGTTCTAGGTCCTGCTTTACTCCTCCTAGATGATCGACTTTAGCAAATATTAGATTCATAGAGCACAAAGTTGGAAGGGTTAGTAGAATCCTCCCCAAAGCAGAACTTGGTTTCCACTACAATAGAGATTGTGGGGTTAATCCAAAGTCATGTACTACAGAGTGTTGTAAGACTAAAAATCACCACACTCCTCAGTCCCTTCAATGTGACCAACATTTGATGAGTTTACTCTATCACATTGTATGCTAAAAGGTTCTCTCCTGATTCCCATATTATAAAAGAGGCACCAGCCAGGATGACTTGGAGAGGACAGGACCTGAGGTTTAGTTACCTGAAAGAAAGACACTTAGCTTCTCCAATCCCACAGCCACAGACAGCCAGAGCTCTAAGGAATGTGCGAGATCATCCACTTTAAGCCCCTCATGAAGCATCTGTTGTTTTCAATTGTCCTGTACCTATTGCCCTTTCCTTGGTAATAGAAACTCAATTTTCTTTTGGAAACTCTCTTTGCCCCAGTCTTGATGGGGCCATCAATCAGTGTGTTCAGACTTCTCTTGGCCAAACATGGCATCTTCCTTCTAAGAATTTGAATCTTAAGCTAAATGACTCAAGTTCAGAAAAACCTGTTAGGTCTGATTTATTCCTGCTGTGGCATAATGAAGTGACTCTATTCATTCCTATTACTTAGAACCCTGAAGCTATCCTGTTTCTGACCCTTTCCTGAACCTCATTTTCCAACTTTCTGTTCCACTCTGTGAATTTTCATGTTTTTTAAAAAAAACATATTTTCATTTAGCCAGAGTGAGTTTCTATTGCTTATAACAAAAGAATCTTCATTGATACATCCTTCCTCTTAAAGATCAAGAACTAAGGCTCAAAGTACGCTGCTTGCCTAAGGTCAGGGAGTACGTTGGCACCAGAGACCAGGCAAAATCCAGGTTAGCTAGTTTCTTTACATATCTGCTGTCTCTAGAGATTTAGCAACCTTGGAAGAAACGAGCTATTCCACGTTGCTAAGGTACCCAGTAGGACATATTATTATTGAGCTCTTTAAAAGTCTATTGGACTTTTACTTCTGGCCATAATTGAGTATTGGAGACCTGAATTTGTCCTTGATAACAAAAAGAAGAAAAAAAAAAAGGGAAGAATCCACATGTTCAACAGCCATAAAAAAACCAGTTACTCAAATGTAACAACATAGGTATATCTCAAAAACCGTGTGCCAAGGAAAAGAAGCTAGACACAAAAGAAGACATACATACTGTGTGCCTTTATTTATGTGATATTCTATATTTGCACTGTCCAACATGGTAGCCACTAGCCAAATGTGACTATTTAAGTTTAAGTTGATTAAAATTCAATGAAAATAAAAACAAAGATCTATTTCCCCAATCACATTAGTCACATGTGACTAGTGGCTACCATGTTGGACAGTGCAAATATAGAATATTTCCTTCATCAGAGAAAATTCTATTGGATAATGCTATTCTAGAAAATATATATCTAGTATATAATGACACAAAGCAAGAGAGTGATTGTCCAGAGTCGGTGGTAAGAGAATTAACTACAAAGGGGCATGAGGGGACTTTTGGGGTAATGGAATATTCTATATTTGGTTGTGGTAGAGGCTACATGGTATATAATATGTCAAAACTCCTCAAACTCAACACTTAGAATTAGTGAATTTCATTGTATGTAAATTACACATCAGTAAAGTTGATTCCAAAAGTCAAGTGTTTTATGGAAGTTCTTTTTTAATCACTTTGTAGTACTTACGATTAGATGATTTTTGCAACGATATAAACATGTTATTCATCCACTGAACTGTATTTTGCTCATCCCTGGAGATGCAGAAACAAATCAACTAGCAAATTCACCCTCAACCTGTTCGCAGTCCAGTACAGAAGATGGGGCTTATGCAAAAATTACTCACATCCACAAAGGAAGTAGCAGGTACCCTTACACAAGTACAGATATGATTCAGGACAGTAAAGGTGGGGGAGTTTCCTTTCACCTGGAGGGATGAGAAAGGCTTCCTGTTCTCTGAAGGGTTTTTGAGCTGTGGATACATTCTGGAGGGGGCACAAAATATGATCCAGGGCAGGAGAGCAACCAGGAAAGTATGTAACCAGTGGATGGCATGCATAAAGAAGAGCTGTAGTGAAATAATTCATATGGACATAAGTGAGAAAGGTTTGTGTTTTAAATACCTGAGTTTGTCAGATTGCACACTCTCAGCTGCTAGGAGCTGTGAAGGAGAAAGTGTCTCTTTCTCTTGTGTTATGTCCAGAATTTCAGGTCATAAATGCTGCTGTTTCCCTCAAGTCTTTATCTTTCTCTTCCTTTTCATGCATATCAAAAGTCATCACAAACAACATCATTCAAACTTGTAGGTCTTGGTCAGAAAGGCAATTGTCTTTTCCTAGGCTTCTGTGTATCTCATTCTATTATAGTCTTTGCCTAAGAGACTTAAGTTGCTGGAAAAGCATGTAACTTGCACACCAAAGAAATAACTTATGCATTTGCAACCTGAGACTCTGGGGGGGGAGGGGAGACATGTAATATTAATACAAGTGGCAATTATGGTAATTATAGTATAATTGTCACTTATTTTCCCAGGTTTTAGACGGTTGTGTGCTACTGGTGTGCTGTCAAATCTTAGAGTTTGCCTTTTTGCCCTTGGTCAAGGTAGCTTTCTGCATTTATTTCTGCAATGCAATAGGACCCATTATTTTTCATAATTATTTATGTAAAATTTTTTGCCATTTAATATCTGTCCTTCTTAGCTAAGTAAATTTAGGATTTTTTTTTACAACAGCTATTGATGTCAAGGTATGCATTTTAAATGTTCTTTTCTATAAATTAGGTTGTAAACATTTTGAAATTAGAAACATGCTAGAAATGTTTGCAAATTGATAACTTATTTGGGGGTCTAGAGCCTCTCCTGGTAATTTAAAATATGTAGACAAGTTCTGCTTATTTCCTAGAAGTAAATAAATATCAGGCCTGAAAAGAGCACCAGGTCTTGCTATTCCAAATGTGATGCAAGGACCAGCAGCATCAGCATCACGTGGGAGTTTTTAGAAATACAGAGTCTCAGGCCTTGCCACAGACCTACTGAACCAGAAGACGTGTTAACAAGATTTCTAGGTGACTCACAGATGCATTAACATTTGAGAAGCACTGAACCAGAGATCATTATTTCACCTCTCATTTTATAAATGGGAAAAACAAGGCCCTGTGTGATGGAACAACTTGGCCATGGTCAAAGGAAATTGAGTATTTTCAATTTAAGAACTTTGTATATTCCAGTCACCTGTATTCCAATAGCAGGAGTAAAGCCAAACACTCTAATTCCAATTAACAAATCTATAATTAATTAGTAAAATGATCTTCCCTTCAAGTTTCACATTTTGTAGAACAAGCTGTTCGATTTGGCTGGGGCTCAGGCCAGCATGTTTGTGAATTTCACAATTCACAGATGTTAGACACTCTCCCACTAAGTAAGGGAAGAGAATGTCAAGTTTTAAATAGCTTCTCCCTTCTATCCTGGCTGAAGCAACAAATGAAATATTTTTATGAAGCACATTTTGAAAACCAGAATTACTTTTAAGGAAATGTCAAATTTCTCTGAAAAGGACTTTTGATTATCTCACAACTTTGGCTACTATTAAATGTTACCCGTTTGCAGGTGACCTGTGATTAGGGAGTGAGTGGAGGATGTGAACTTGCCATGTTAGTGAGGCTTGGGCACACAAACTTCTTTTTTTTTTTTTTTCCTGCTGGAGTCTATTTTAATTTAGCTTCTGAATCATATTTCATTCAATTTCCAAATCCACAAAACCAGGATAGGCTTACAGCCTGTATTCAGAAAGGAAGTACATGAATCTGTATGTAGACTTTTCTGATATTATACTCATTTTTGGATATATAAAGAATTTAATGATTTTACTCTAAAGTAGGTCAAGCCAAAGCAAAACCAAAACCAGAAAAAACAATAAACATAATAAGAAAGTGAGACAGACTGATAGAGATTGAAATAAACCAGAATGTTTTCAGTAACAGGCAATTTAAAATAATTTTGTAAGCTTCAAAATAGTCTGAAATAATATAGTAGTATCAGTTTAAGAAAATCTTGTGTGTGTGTTTGAGGTAGGATATTTAAAAATGAAACACAACTCGATAAAGTTTATTTTCTTCTATTTGGGGCAGGAAAAACTTCTAAGGGGTGTGAATGGATACCGCTTTCTCTTAGTTGAGACGAAGAGTGAGTTCTAGGTTAAATATAATCAAGGAATTTCCCTGTCTTTGCTATTTGAGATTGTGACCACAACAGGCGGTTGGCTGAAAGGGAGAATGGGGGGGAGGGGGGGGAGATGAAAAAAAAACAAAAAAAAAACCAACCTTCCTAAGCAGCTCTGTTAAAAAAACAACAACAACAAAAAACACAACCTCCAGAAGCAGTTACAGAAGTCCTCAAGTCAAATCAGTATGCAGATACAAGGAAACGTTAATTAGCTGGAGCAGGATGGACACACAGCAGCTCAGTTCTGTTATAAAAGTCCAGTCTGCTGAAATTAAACTCTGATGCCATTCATGCCAACCTCCAATCACCAGAGAGACCAGAAGTTCAGAGATGCCTCCAAGTTGCCCACAAGTGTGACCACTATGCCTCCAGGACTCTAAAGCCGTGGTAGAGGGGGAAGAACAATTTTAGAGAGGATGCCCAGCTGGTAAGAATCAACTGTTTCTGATGTTTGAGTCACTTGATGAATCTCATTGGCTAAAATCGAGAAACGCCCCGCCTCTTTGCAAATGTGTGTGAAGGGGGAAGTGTCTAAACTTCTATGTCTGATAGCATTTGACCCTATTGCTTTTAGCCTCCTGGCTTTATTATCTATATATACACAGGTACATGTGTATAGGTTCTATAATTGTTCTCCATTTGTTGATTATCAAAGAGAGTTGAAGGAAATGAATTGTGAAACTTCACGGTGTGCTACCCTACAGTACTGTCCTGACCCATACATCCAGCGGTGAGTTGAAACGTGACGTAACTTCTATCAAAACTTAATTGGAGTGCCTTGTGTATTATGAGTGTTTCTGCTGTCTACAAAGAGCAACCCCTCCTTGTTTATGAGCACAGTGATATTATTTTGGACTTTCTGTGAACTTAAAGTGGTCTGTGGGCATCTTTTCTAATTTTCTTTCTTAGTTCATGTCTGGATCTACAAAGTGACAAAGTTGGAAGATTTCTATGGTTTCTTAAAAAAATAATTATCACACCATTTGCAGATGTTTAAAATCTGTTATTTGCCTTCCTCAGCACTCACCCACCCAAGAAGAAGAAATTTCATTGGTCAGGGATATAATAATCTATGGACTATCTTCAAGTCAAAATAAACACGGAATAATTTTGATTTGTACATTAAAAATAGATGAATAGCCATTGTTATGCCAACAGATTGTGGCTTGTCATTTTGGCTCTAAGAAATATTTTCTTCTTGATTTGTTTCATAACAAACATCATCTTTTGACAAATCTGACTTTTAAAATTTATGATTGTACTGAATTTTATTTATGTTTATAGGAAGGAACATTTGCCTAGCACTAAGAGGGAATATTAGTGAGTGTCCACGATGTGTGTGTATGTGTTTGAAATTAGAGTTTGCTATTTTTAAACTGGTAAATGAAATCTGAACAGTGTTTTTCCAGTCATAAAGTTATGGGAGATATTTAAGTCATATGTAGCAGTGTGATGTTGTTAATTTAACAGCATGAGATTTGATGTTGGAATTTCATGCTTTATTTTATAAGACTAATGAGAGAGGTCCTCTGAGTGTTGAAAATGGTGGGGTTCCAAAGGGGTTAACTTGTCATTCACCACGGAGGCTTATTGGAAGCTCATACCAGAAGTGGAGTAGGCTCTCTGGGCAGGGCTCAGTTACTGTCACATTGCCTAGGCAATTATGGAAGATGTGTGATCTTTTTTCATTAATATGACTTGTCACCATGTAGGACACTAATGTGGACAATGTAGACTTTGCTCCTCTTCCTGTGAGGTTTCTGGTGGGCTGTCTGAGAAAGCAGAAGCAGAAAAGTAAGGCAGAAAGGTAAATGGTGGAGAAAGAAAAGAGAGGGAGAAAAAGGGGAAAAAAAAGAGAGAGAGGGAGCAAGTCTGTGGTCTTCCAGGTTGAAATGAGAAATGTGAATGGTGATCTAATTCCTGCCTTGCTGTCTGCCACAAATCACAATGTTAGCATTGGAGGTGGGGGTTGGGTCAATAAAGAGCACAACACCCAACATTTTCTAGTTCTCAAAATAGTTTTCCAGACTCAAAATTTTCTATTCTACTAAAAATCTTATGAAGTGGTATTCTAAGAGCATAGTTCTCATGAAATATTAGCTGTATAATGCTTCCCTTGAGGACATCTTTTTTAAAGTAGATACTTGGATTTACCTCAGCTCCAGAAGAAACTTTCTTCTATTGACTAGCAACCCATACATAAACCTGTACACCCCTGTCTACAGGCATTTCCAGTGATTGATGAGAGAAGCCTGGAAATATAAATAAATGAGAAAATTGCTTCTCATATTGTCCTAACAACCTGTTAAATCATGGAAAAAAAATCATCTGTTTTTGACATACTGTAAAATTCAAAATACTAATAGTACATTGAAATAGTTTAATAAATTGTGTTCGGCAAGATTGTGTACCCTCCATTTGTAATGAAAACTTAACTTGCAAATAAATTAAAGAGCAGAGAAATGCTTGTTGCTGAGCATCTATTCTATGCAAGGCACTGGAAATAGCAAAATGATTAAGATACAGCTATATTGTCCGTTTATTTAACTCTATGGTACTTATATACTTAATAACAGATATATTTTCCCCAAATATTTTAACTGTCTTGCCATGTATTTTAAAGACTGAATTATTACTATTTTCCTGTCCATACTACTTAGTGAATAAATGAATATGTGGATTATCACTGTAAGAAATCTACAATACCGTGTGTTGTCAATGTAAGAATAAGTGATATTCTCTTTAATGCCTGGTGAGTGAATGGGTTTGAGTTGCTTTTTCTTAGCAGACAAACCTTGTAGTTCTCGGTTTACAAAATCTATTTTAAGAAAGACCAAATTTAATCATTCCATAATCATAGTCATCTACATAGTTAAATTTGTTTTTTTTTCCTGACCTCGCCTTTAGAAAAAAGTCATGAAAGGGAATTTTCACAAAAGAGGAAAGAACAGGATATCTTGTTATTTTTAACTCCAAGCTACATTAATGCATGGTTTCCTTTTATCACAGAATAGAATAAATGAGAGATGCTATTATCATTTATTACTGAATGTTAATGCCATTCCCAAAAAGCCAATTTCAAAGTTCTATGATAATCATTCTCTCAGTTAAAATTGGGATTTCACCCTCTGTTTTATTTTTCTTTGCACCTAAACATATTGACATACTATACATTTAGTTGTACTCCAGTGTTGATGCTAAGTTAGTCTTTGCAAAAACTTTTCTGATAGTCAAAAGAGCATGAAAACTATAGAGCGAAGATTTCCCCTTTCATGATATTGACCATTACAAAGAAGAAGAAAAGGTGGGGGAAAATCACCAGTCTTGTCATTTTATTGCTAACTTAATTTTAACAAAAATATCGAAGCATAGATGAAATTATGCCAGAATAATAAAGAAGAGTGAATGGGTAGATTACCATTTCCTTAAAAATGAAAAGTATCAGCAGTGAGTTCTGTTTATTTTTTATTAGGTGAAAAATCAAAATGAATCAAAAATGTAGCATTTTAGAATCTAAATCTCTGTTAGTTTATTGTTGGGTAATAATTCGGGTCTTCTTTCACACTTTAGTTTTTAGGATTGCTATCTAGTTTTTAAAATAGATTTTTAAGCTGGGTAATTCGAAAAGACAGACTAAATCCTTTCAAAATATAATTTTGCAAATAAACCAGATAATGTGATAAAAATGAGTCAAGACCAAATTTTGAAATAATATGATAGCTGAAGGCCAAAAATAAGAGAAAATGCAACATATTACAATTCGAGCTACTTGCGAGATGACTTTGTATTATTTTTGCCAGTCAATCCAAAAAAGCTCAAACTGCTAACATGGTATATGAATGAGTAAGAAGCAACCCCTGTGTAAATTGCATATTGATTGTGAATTTTATGCTTTACCAGTTAAAAGGTCAACTTTATTAAGTATGTTTTCTAAATATATCCCAAAAGGAAGTGTAGTGACAGAGAACTTCTAGTGGAACATCATTTTGTTTATGAGAGAATATCACAGAAGGGCAGTTGCAGTTCTGTGTTGGGTATACTCTACCTGCTTCTCCACATGCATCCTCCATTCTTCTCCTTGTTCTGTACCTCTGGAAGCTGACTTCTAAAGGCTACCCTGACCCTTCCTTTCTCCTCTGGTTTCCTCTTGGGTTAGACTTGCATAAGAAGATGTGATGAGCCCTGGGTGTTATACGCAACTAATGAATCATTGAACATTATATCAAATCTAATGATGTACTGTATGTTGGCTAATTGAATTTAAATTAAAAAAAAAAGTAGAAGTGCATAAGGAGGGAGTTAGGGTATATGTTTCCCTGGCCACTTCCCTGTTGGGTTTTCTACTAAAGGCTGCAGGTCCTGTCAGCCACCCTTGCCATAGGTCCGGGTTTACTTTACTTTCAAGCATAGAAGTGCTAAGCATTCCCAGCCACTACTAACTCCGAAAACCCATATCCTATCCCTTATGCCTTGGCAAATAGTCCCTTCATTAAACTCTCTACAGTCACTCTTTTTTCAAGTGCTCTTATTCCTGTCAGGATCGTGGCAAGTACAAAAATAAAATACATGCCCACAGTGTTGTCTATGCACATACGAAATCCTCCAAAATTGGTATAACATATAATGATAGAACTTCTGATGTAACATAAAGGATGTATCTACTCACTGCAGTGAGCAAACCAGGTTTAGTAAAGCTAATCCATTCATTTTAGCCATCTCCATAATCACTGTTTCTCTATCCATAACAAGCCAGCATGCTACAGTCTGTGTATGTTGTTTGTATCAGTACTTGAATTGAAGCAAGGCAGAAGGCAGGAAGAATTGGTTCATAAAGAAATATGAAGGTACAATTTATCAACAGGGACTAACGTATCCATCAGTTGTAATGAAGAAAAAAAACTGCTTCAAACCCTTACAATTTTCACAAGAATAAATTCTAAAAGACCGTTATGATCATTTGTGGCTAGTCCAAAGTATGATGCATTATAATTCTAGATGCTACCCCTGGGCTGTAAGTGCATTTAAATGGCAAGGAGGCAGGGAAGTGTGTTAGCTGAGTACGCATAGAACTTGTCAAAAGATCTGAATAATAGCCTTAACTCCACCACTAACTGATTATATGACCTTCAGGAAATCATTTAAGCTATTTAAATAAAAGTTTCCTCATAAAGTAATTAGGGATTACAACCTCTGATCTACTCTTCACAGCTGGGACGTGGAGAAATTATATAGGAACCCAACACAACTCTGAAATGCATTGCCTTAGTGTATTCCTCAGTTTTCCTATTGTGTGTGTAGCACACCAGCACACTGGGGATTCCTTTCCCGCAATAATCGTGTCCTCATGTGAGTATACCTTAAGTTCCATTTTGCCTGATATCATTAAGCGTCTTGGTATGATATTGGCTTGTCTCTCTCAATGTTTATACTTCACAATTCAGATTGAGAAATCTGAATCCCAGAGGGGTTAAGTGATTTTATTCCCCCCAAATCACAGAACAAAATAGTAGCAGAACCAGATCTAGAATTTAAGTCTCGTGATCCTGTTCAACGTTATTTCTACCACAGAACATATTATCATTTTATTAGAACTGTATAGAACCTTACCGTTAAGGAAGTACTTCCCGGTACCTGATCCACCTGGGAGGTGAGCCGGTGTGGTAGGCAGAATAATGGCCTCTAAAGATGACCAGATCCTAATCTCCAGAACCTGTGAATATGTTCTATTAT